AAATATAAAATTTTATTAAAATTGACAAATCAAAATTTTTGCTTTTTTCTTGTTTACTATATATTCCCTCGTCCTAATCAAAAAATGTTAGTAGAAAAGTTGTGCAGATTTTTATTACAAACGTTTTAGTACCAAATTAGCTAACTAGTTATAAGTTATACACTGTAAAAAATTTAGTAAATCTGCCGAGTTAAATATTGAGGAGATTATCTTTACCAGTAAAAACACTACTTAAATTATATGTATATTTACGTCATTTTTGGTTATAACTCAGTAAAATTACAGTATAAATAAAGGTAGAGGTACTGGAAGAGGGTAAATCTGCTAAAAAAAAAATTTACAGTGTATAACCTATATAACTAGTTGGCTACCGAGCAAATTTGGTACCAAAACGTTTGTAATAAAAATCTGCACAACCTTTCTTACTAAATTTTTTTGATTGAGACGATTGAATATGTAGTAAACAAGAAAAAAGCAAAAATTTTGATTTTTCAATTTTAATAAAATTTTATGTTTAACTTACGATGTTTTAGCTGAGTTTAGATATCTCGATTTCTATTTTTGATACAATATATGGTTATTTTTACAAAAAATAAGATGCACCCAAAACTATAAATTTTAATTATCAACAAAATGACGATTTTTTGAAAAAACCGTACACTACTTTTTAATTAGAAATTTGTGTCACAAAACACATTTAAATAAATGTGGAAACCACTGATACAGTGAAGATATTGATTAATCATTGAATATCAGTACTAAATCTTTTTTAACACAAGTGTATATTTTAAATCATAAATTGGGTAAATCATGAGACACCAAATAATAATTTTACTGGTTAACCAAACCTTCAATTAATACAAACATATAATTAGGCTGTAATTATCGAGTTAATCCTCAATATGGTAAGTCCGTTTTCTTTTGGCGGTAAGAAGACCCTCTTCAGTTGAAGGATACGCTCAGTGGTTTCAGTGCTAAGTCAAGTGGTACAAAATCGCACAAAAATATAAAGAGCGACATAATTTATTTTTTTTCGTGTAAATTTAGAAAAAAAAAATTTGAATTTTGGTAAAAAACTCTAATCTTGCATTAAGTTCTAAAAGCTACTAAAATAGTCGTAAATGTTGACTGATTCAACATAAATTGAGAACCTGGAAAAGAAACCAATTATTTTTTATAAAAGTTTTCTTAATTTGGGCACTATTGTATCTGAGATTAAATTGATTACAGACTTGTCAGGCATGACACATTTTTATTGAGATTTGAGAACTCACAAGATTGTTGATACTTCTACATTAATTACAATACTACTTCATTAATTTTATTGTAAATATGATCAAAGTGTTTACACCAATGGTCGGTATTTTGAGAAATATTTAAAATTGATTAGAAATATCATAAATTCGGTTTAACCTTGAATAACCTTGTTCCTTTTTTACATTCCTGACACAAACTTCTCCTGCAAATACGAAAATGGTTAACACGCTACGCATATGTATTATTATGTAAAAGGGACACTAAGATTCCACCATAACTAGCTTTTATTGCACAGATTCCTCTAATTATGATTTTTTTCGATGGGTTAATGCTGTATAAATATAGGGAAATGATTTATGAGATCTATTGGTACCACCGGATTAATTAACTTTTTAAATTAGGATATTGTATGGTTTCTTCGGCACTACACTTAATTCATTCATTGGTTCAAGCCTACACCAATTTGGAGGTGATTATAATTTAAACTCAAAAAATGTACTGGTGCAATAGACAACAAAAATAGTTTAATACATTTTTTTAAGCTAGTGAAAGAATATTAGCCGTTAGACGTAATAAGGAGATTAATAAACAATGAGAGGAACGTATGTTGCTGCAATGGACATCGTGGGTTATCCTCTGGTCACGCGCCCACTGTAAATAGCCTACGCGTGTCCGAAAACGGACAAACTGCCATTGTTGACCAATATAGGCAATAATGAACCCCTTAACTCATATTCTAGACTAAATACCCAACTAACCACCAACTTTTTTAGATTTTTTTTCTATTAATGTTAAAAAACATTCACGCTATCGTACTTTCTGATAACAATAAACATATATAACGGAACTCCACACCCATTTTTAATATGCCTGGTTAAGATAGATATATTAAAAACAAAAGTTTCAGAGTAATCAATAAAGACTGTGGGAAAAACGTATAAACAATATACTTGATACGGAACATTAGATATATCAGCTTCGAATATAATGCTTACATGACTTAAATTTGCAACGTAAATATTCATATTTATGTGACATCAAACGCATAGTGAACAATTTTGAAATCTTGTTATCTTTTAATAACAAATTATGAAAAAAAAAATTAATGGGGATCCCAGACGATTGTCTCGTAATAAAAAAGTAATGGCCTGTTTGGGTTCCGGAATTAAGTAATGTATATGATTTCATGCTTTTTGGTAAAACATCGATAGTTAATCAAGGAAGAGTGGATTTCTATTTCCTCTATTGTAGAAAATGTTATCCTTATTGGACTGAAGAATAACGAAAATGGATAGGGGTCGTCTGTTTCCGAATCAGCGTTAATTTTAATGACTTTATTCTCAGTAAGGATGGTTTATTGCTGTTATTCCTGCTTTAATTGTGATCTACAGCTCTCATAATCAGTACAGCAGGTCTGGACTCGCCCAAAAGTTAAAATAATAGGTAAAATAAGTACTTGAGGTATTTATATTCAACATTTTCCACAAATTTTAAGACGTTCTACCAGAGCCATGTATGTTATCCATCTTTACAAAAAAACGAGGACGTGCTTAACTTCCGTAGCTCTATGGTATGGAAAATGAACTTGAAGCCAGTGATTATCCATTCCTTAGTTTCTCTTGGAAAATAATGGAACAAACACAAACAAGGAGAATTCGCCAGCTCTCTGGGGCATTGTTTAGTAAATACTTTTTCTCCTGTGCCATGGATCCCATGGCCCTGACGGCATTACACCTCGGGATTTAGGAAAGCAGTAGTAGTAGTACAAATCTCATTGTATTATAAGCGAATTGTGATGGAGCTGTCTAATAATTATTGAGCATGGTGTAGATGTGCATATTTTTTCGTGTTTGTGCAATCTATAAGTGGTGGACATAGGAGCTGTCCTAATGGTATAATCTGATATGCGGTATTTATTTAGTTATACTGTCTTCACATCTGTCCTATTATGCTATATATCCATAGAACATTTCCTACTAGCCATTGAGACACAGTGTAGAGTCCAGTTCAGAATAGAGTTCCTTAATAACAGTCTCAGGCTAGGACTGACAATTAATTAAAAAAAGGTGATAAAACTCAGTAAGGACCAAATACAGAAGAGTATGGAAAGGCCTACAAGTCCATAAAATCCCTTTATCGCCAACATATATGCATGTAACAATATATTATATATTCTAAGCCTTCTCTCCAGCTTCTTCTTGGTCTTCCATGTTTTCTATGTCCTGGTTGTTTAGTGGTCCATCTTCTGTCATCCTCTGTACATGGCTGTACCATAGAAATTATTTTGTGGTAATGTCATCTATAATTTTATGACCTACTTCCAGTATTTCTCTGATAGGGTCATTTGTTATTCGTTCCCTCCTAGACTTTCCTGCTGATCTTTGCCAAAAGTCGATTTCTGTGGCTTTTAGCATGTGCCCTGTTCTAGTTTTTCTTTCACTGCCTTAAGTTATAATGCTCCGGATTATGTTTATATATTTTTTGTTTATTGGCTTTAAATATCATCTGATCCCAGAGGACCCCATTTAGGATCAATATCGCTCCCCTACCCTGTATATTTCTGTATCATATTGTGTGGTCCATTATTGTGACATCATTCGTAAAATCCAAGCCTAGATATGTATAGTTTGCACAAGGCCTGATACCTTCCTCGCTTTGTAATATTAGGACCTGTTACATCCACCCTATGCAGATAGTGTGTGTTTTAAATATTAGGACCTGTTGCATACATCCTTGTTTTTTATTTAAGTTTATTTTAAGTCTCCATTTACTATATTCTTTTACAAGTTTCTTTGTCATTGTAACAACATATATTGACAATAATTAAACATTGAGTCCTTTTTAAAATAAATAATTTATTGAAATCACCTATCATCCAATTATGGACAATGTATGTAGTAGTACAAATCTCATTGTATGATAAGCGAATTGTGATGGAGTAGTACAAATCTCATTGTATGTCATTGTAATCTCACTGTATATTATTTTCCATGTATGTCACATTTGTTTAATATGTTTAATATGTACCTACATATAATGTAGAACTAAAGCATCCCCCTTTCTTGATACTTTTCTGATGAATTCTGTAAATGTTCTAAAGGAAGCTTAAATTTTTGTATTGAGATTATTCTTTTCATTAGGTCTATATACTGTGACAAGTGGACTTGCACATTCTCTTCCAATGTTAGTATAAATCACCATCTTCTGTTCTAGCAGATTGTTATTCAGTTGATAATTGGTTACTGAGATATACCAAGATCATTCATATGTAACAATTTGTAAATTATTCTTCAGGATGACTCAAAGGTTCTCACATAGTGACAGCACTATGTTAAGTGGTCGCCAGATCTATTCAAAATTAAATTGATACATTTTACATGATTTGGTGTATTTTGGGGACTGTGAGACATACACATCATATTATTAAGAAATATCTTATTGCCAAGGATATTAAATAGTTTCTTGAAGTTAAGTTGAATAAATAATTGACAGCATTAACAAATTTCTTGAATTAGATTTCAAGAACTAAGACAATTATTGAAAATTTGCATAACAAGCATTTATAAAAAAAAATACAAAATGTCAGGGTATTGGATTTGTATATCCATATTCAAGAATTTGCATTTTTGAATTTGTATATCGCAGTAAAAAATAAATCATGCATTTGTCACCTGTTAGATACAGTGACTGCTACTGTCTACAACTATTTAAGTACATACATATTATTAAAAAATTTCACTTACTGCTATGTTTTCGTAAGAGACACTGTAATCAGTATAGGCACAGAGAAGATCAATGGGGAGCAGATTTGTACTTCTAACCTTGGAAGCAATCAGAAGGCAGGTGGCACCAAGTAGTTGCAATTGTTGTCTCTTGATCTCACAAATACACAGAAATCTGTCCATGATGTTGATAGCCAAAGGCAAGACCTGGTCTTCACACATCTGCTCTTCACAAACCTGAAAAATTAAGGTAGTTGACAGCTAATGTTTCACTTGGCAATTAATTATTATATTAAGGTCCAGTCATAAAATACTATATCTCACCAAACAATCAAAAAGAAAATACTACTACATTGATATAGGTTTACCCATTAGTAGGTATATTAAAGGAAGTAGTGGATTATGAACATGCAACAACTTGTTGCAGACATTTTTAACATTTAATCAGATAAAAATAAGTAATAGATGTATACTATTTAATCAACTATTGTAAATACGAATGGATTTATTGTGGAAAATAAAAAGGAAAATGTTTAGAAACATTGGAATAAAAATATCATCAGATTATTACTTAACAGAAAAGGATATACTGATTGATACCTCTAAATTTGTATATTAACCACCTCAGAGTAATATAAAAATCTTAAATCCGAATTAAAATAAATTGATAGAAAACAATAATATTTAGGTACTGAAAATTTTTTTGATAATATCAATATATTATATTCTTGTAGATATTGGTTGGTTATAAAAGTTACTCTACACATAATGGAAACCTTGTTTTGACGAAATTTGTTGTATTTATTTTAAAAAACTTATTGACAGCTTTAAATATTAAAACAATTAAGATGTACTTTTAAAATTATATCGTAAAAATATTTGAATTTATAAAAAATATTGTTAAAAATTGCGCCAATTTAACGTCTGCGACATAAAACAAAAGACAGTCGAGACTGTCTAGCCAAGAATATTCTTATTTTATAAATATTAACGGTAATAATTTAAAATAGTTACTTACCTCCAACATCCAAGTAGTTACCACTTTTCGCATGAAGGGTTGAACGTCATTTTGTACCTTTTCAAAATAATTACACTTTGGAATTGAGAACACTTCCTCGTTTAACAAATTGTTTAGTACACGAATATCATGAAATATAGCTTTGTCTCGCGTAGCTCTGCAGGTATTCTCGAGATTTTCAGTACAAATAAGTTCCATGTTCACTTTTTAAGATAAATAAATCAAAATAGTCTGTGATATTATGATTTCACGCCGTACACTACTGTATTGCAGCCAGTAACAATCGTCACAATAAACAGCAAGCAGACTGACTTCATAGAAGGGCAACAAGTAGTTTTGTTCGGAGAATCGAAATGCGTGTCATGCGCGGTAGCGCTCAATTTAAAAACACCTGGACTATCAGAATCCTGCGTTTTCATTCCTGCACCCTTTAAAAGTTTGTTATTGTACTCTATACCTGCTTTCTGCTTTAAATTTTCTGACATCTGCTGTTTTTTTATACCGATTAAATAATTTTTGTTGGCGGATGACTTTTCTTGGTACAGTCAGTGCCGGAGTTAAACACTTTTGCCGCCCATGGGCCAGAGGTCTGCCTGCCGCCCTAGCGGGGTGTGCAACACCGGGGGGGGGGGTCCGGGCCCCCCCCCCCGAAAAAAATTGAAATTTAGAGGCAAAATAACGCATTTTGGGACATTTTCAGCGCTCAACTGTCTCGTTGATATTGTAATGGGTTAGTACCTCTCTGATGAAAACAAGAAACTATGTCTAAAATTGCGTTTTATTAATTAAAATAAACTATTTGACAAACTCCGTTAATTACTGAACCTTTTTCTACAACCGTGATTTCCATACTTAAGATTACAATAATAGTAAATAAAATCGTTGTTGATATTATTTGTGAAACATCATGCAGCTCGTAATTCCCAAACTCAACAATTCTTTTATAGTTTTATGACTATTTGGCTGAGATGATTGATTTGGAGTGAGTGATAAATTCGGCTTGTTATCGGCGACGGCTCACCTGTGAATGTGCCCGCAGGCTTTGAGCCATAATCGGTCATTGCTGTCGATTATGGGCAAAAACAGACAGTTAGGAAGTGGCTAATATTAGTAAAAGGTGTACAGAGTATAGACTGCAAAATAAATGATAATTTCTGTATTGAATATAGGATAATAACAAATATATACAACATCGAAATATAACTGTTCAGAGCATACAAATCACATATCCAAACAAATAACTTACTCACTAAATTAGCTTTGTTAAAGTAAATTAACTTAAAACTCTTCTTTCTTGCACGTGCATTGGAAAAATCATCAACAACTGCACTGAAATCGAGTTTGTTGTCAGTTCATGTTCTATGGCTAAAACAGCCAGGCTGACGAGTCGTTCTTGAGTCACTGTTGAACGCAGATAGTTTTTTACTCTTTTCTAGGTCGAAAACGATCTCTCAGCAGAACAGTTTGTAGCATGAGTTGTCAAAAACATTTTCAAACCAATAGCCACGTTGGGAAACAAGTCCTGTAGATTGTTTTTCTATCAAAAATCTGATACAAGTTTGATAGTGAAAAGTCTTTTTCGGCTTCTTTGTAGTTTCCTCGGATCAGAAGTCCTTTCAGATGGATGCACTCGCATATAAACTCTGACTCTTCAATGTCTTCAATATAGATTTTCTGCAAAGACGTCGCGTTAGCAGTAATTTCTTCGGTAGTTAGAGTCTTTAAATTTTGTTAGAAATGAAAACTTTGCAAACGAAGTCTGTGTACACAGAGATCCTTTTGTCTAACTGAAACTGAAGTGTTTCCACGATGATGTCATAACTTTGTTGAAGACAATTTCCCCTAATGTCATCATTCCTCATCATTAGTTCTTTCTTCATCTTCTTCTGAAGATTCATCAAAGAACCTCTTTCTTTTCGCCTTTCTTTTGGGGCGATCAAAATCTTGGTGTTTCGGGATATACGGTGGTTTGATCTTGTCAGTATCAACACATGACGAAGCTGAAGGTGCTGATGCTGAAGGGGTTGAGGGTGAAGCTGAAGGGGTTGATGCTGAAGCTGAAGGGGTTGATGTTGAAACCGGAGGGCGTGATGCCTGAAGCTAAAGGGGTTGATGTTGAAGCTGAAGGGGCTAATGCTGAAGCTGGAGGGGTTGAGTGTTAAAGCTGAAGGCACTGATGCTGAAGCTGTTGAAGCGTGAAGGCGTTAATATGGAACATACTTCTAGTTCTACTTCACAAAATTCTTTGACACTTTCTAAAAGCACTGGTTCTGGTGGCACTGGTAGGTTATCTTCTTGTAAAAAAATGTATCAAGCTTCGCAGTTTTATTTACAACTTCTGTCAATTTTTTTTTCTTCTCTTCGGCTACTTTTTTGTATTGCCACCCACTGAGCCGTTTGCGTCCATCCATTTTGTACAGCTGCTTGGTTATAGCATCAATGACATCGGAAGTATAGGTCTGACTGTAAAAAAAAGAATATCTGTATAATTCAAAACTGTAGTACGATACGACAGGAAAAAAATGAAGCGAAAAAATGAGGGAAGCGAATTTCCTTCCATTACTTATTCGAATCTCATTGTGAAACCTATACGTATGGCAACATGCCGAATTAGCATTGCTTCTCTTACTACCACAAAGTAAATGGCGAAATAATGCAAAATTAAATAGCCACAAAATTTTGACAACTAACGGCCTTACGGCCTACACAGCACAGCTTCTCACCGTCTCACTACTCCTTACACCAGTGCTAACTGCTGCCTGCATAAACTTATCTGAACCTTTAGATGTAAGATCTATATTAACTTACATTACCATTAACTATAAACAAATAAATATTTCTTACCTCACAAGTTACAATTTCAAAATGTTACTCCGCTCAAAACAAATTACAAAAACGTTAAACCTAAACAGTTAGACAGACTGCAGTACGTTGGAGTTGAGATCCAGACAACCGAATGACAATTGGCGCGTGGCGGTGATGGAGTTGGTGGGGGTAGGGAAGCGGCGACGGCGACAAGACGCCTGCCATCAGCAAATGCTAGCAACTACTAATCGATCCCACAACTAAATTTCCCGTGCGTAAGCGTACGATTACAGACTGCCGCCTCGCCCCTTCGACTCACTTGGATAGAGTGGGCGTAGCGTAGTGTACTGCGACACATTACACCGCGCAGAGTGTCGCGTTTATAAATAATAATAAACAATAAAATAGTTTTTTTAATATTTAATGCTCAGGTTCACTGGTCTTGATAATCGATAATAAAGCTTTATAATCAATCAAAAATAATTACACTTTTTTTTTCTCAAATCCGCCGCGCCCCAAATTTTGCCGGCCCTGGGCCGCGGCCCAGTTGGCCCGTGCCTTAATCCGGCCCTGGGTACAGTTGGGTTAAAAAATCTTTCTTGCAGGTAATTTTTGTGATCGCAGGTAAAACGACGCGACAGCAGGTGAACGTTGCAGGAGATGATGCTGGTAGGTAGTAAATATAGTATACAGAGTATAATTTCTATATTTAAAAGTCTCTTTGTTAGGAAAAAAAAATACTGAAAATAAATCGTAGTATACCGCTCCAACAAAAGTGGAGGAATAGTATATGTAAAAATAGTAAATAATTACTAAACCAGGTGAAATATCAGAAATCGTTTAATATCTACTTTTATAATTATTTTAAAATGCATCTATGTGGATCCCATAAGTGATATATTAGACAACAACGCATCACTTGACGAAGAAGTCCTTATCATAATACTTTATTTGATCATAACAACAGTGTTTTTTGTGTAACATTGGTTGTAACCAACCATACAACCGATGTAATAATAGTTGGGAAGAGATGCATTTTTGTAATCTTGTTACTTACTTACTTTCCGTGTCCGGAACACGAACAGCTTTAAATTTTGTGTTTCCAATGGTTGGCCACATAGATGGCCGTGTCATTTGCTAAGAATAGGTCTTCTTCTGTGCGTGTGTATATTCTTGTTGATGTTATTCGAAGACCGGCTAGCCTTCCGTAGTTTCTGTCTATATGCATACCTCTTCTACTACTTCTTCTATTTCTTCAGGTTCCATCTTCTCGAGGGAGGATGAATTTCAATACGGCAATCTTTATTTTATTCGCATCTGCTGTAAATAAATGGTTTAATATTAACCCAAATAAATCTTTTAAGAATATGTCCAAGTTTTTGTTTGGTGTTCTTTACTACTAAAGTATGTACTTTACTACTTCATCATCCAGCCTCGAACGTTCACTGCTAAATATAGGCCTCCTTCCCTTGCCGGTGAAGTTGAAGTGCCGGTGGTCGTTTGACCATCTTGCCGGTGGTCCATTGCTAAAACAAGAACTACCAATAATAAATAAGCAAGTAGAGAATCCAGTCAAACAGGATATAGATGAAGAGTGGCAGACCATACAGACAGCCATGTCGAAAGCAGCGGAAAAGTCTATAGGAAGAGAGCATATAAAAAGACGGCAAGACTGTTTGATGAACAATGTAGGAATGTTTTGACAAGTAGAAATAGGGCAAAACTACAAAGAGATAAATAACATACACAAAATGCGATCGAAAACTATGTGGCAACAGTGGCAAGAAGAAGGGAAGTGAAAATCATTTGCAGAAAAAAATAGAGAACAGCTAGAAAAGCAATTGAAAAAGAAAGTAGAGATCTGGGAAAGAAAGGTGCTCAGAAAAATTTATATTTGAAGAAAACGAACGAATAAAGAAATAATGAGGATGTATGGAAAACCAGCAATTACGGCAAACATATGAGCCCAAATAGCTAGATGGCTTGGTCACATTATACGAATGCCAGAGAATCGAAATGTTAAAACAATACTGAAGGAGAGAGAAATGGGGAAAAAAAGAAGAGGACGTCCAAAGAAGAAATGGTTGGAAGCAGTAAAACAAGACTTGTCAAGCAAGGCACCGAAAACAATGGAATGAAATAACCAAGTTTTTAGAAGCCAGGGGCCTACGTGGCTTGTAGCGCTGTTCATCTTATCATTACCATAAGCAGAATTACCATTATCAGAATAAGGAATAAAACTTATTACAGAGTAGTTAACCTTTTTTGCAACTAAGACAGCAACACCATAGCGATGATTGACCCCCTTATTAACTGAATAATACATGGTTCCGTTATTTGTAATGTTTGCAATGTTTGTTTGGCTGAACCTGGCCACTGTACGTCACTTATAC